CAGCATGGCAAAGTGATGTTGAATCTTTTAGAGACCAAGTGCCCAAACTGCAACCCAAAACCCACTCATTTATTGCCAAGTGCCAACATTGGAATTAAACCTGAATATTTGATTCTTGGCTGCTGGGATGACTTGGCTCACGCACTGACAGAGAGGGCCTGCATGCCCACTGTGGAATGTGTGCTGTAGCTTCGCCACCACTGGCATAGGGGCACAGTGGAGGAATAGTTGCACATGGTGTGGCATCCAGGAAACAGAGAGGGAATCAAGGGAGGATCCGGGAAGGGAGACAAACCCTTCCAGGCCATGCCCCTAGTAATCTGCCTCCTCTGACCAGACCCCACCTCCTAACAAGTCAGCGATAAGCCCCCATAATCCAATCACCTGCTAAAAGCCCCACCTATGAGCACATGAAGATTTTTGGGGGGACATCTAGATACAAACAACAGCAGATGCTTTATTTATTGTGATTATCTTCTCCTGTTCTGTTTTTTAAATTTTATTTATGTTTACTTGTTCCATTTAACTTCTGAAGATCATTGGTTAGCTTGTATGGCAGGCAATTAATTTGTTACAAAAAGCTCTCACTCTTCTTCCTTTGGGTATTGCTTTAAATTACTCCCAGCCTGAATTGGAGGACTTCTGGAGCTGTTTTCTAATAATGGGCAAGGAAGCAGCCAGATGGTCCATCTATGACAGCACACATAGATAGTCAATACTAGATATTTTTGGGAGATGAATTGTATCACAGCAAAAAATCTTTTGGCACATAGAATGAGTCATGGGCATGACTGCCTGGTAGGATTTGCAATCAACTTTGGTTTACTTTCTTCTCACTCACTGATTAAAACATAAATGGACTGTATACTGTTTCTCTTTGGCTTTTTTAGTTCAGGGAAACATTCTCAACTGGATAATACTATGGCAGAGACAAAGGTGACTGTAACTCTGCCTTAACAGATATCACCCTGGTAAGAGACAGTGACTGTATGAGGTGCTCCCTTCTCACTTAGGAAGACCAGAACCAAGTCAGCCTGCTTGCTGTCACTCAGTGCTCCCTGCTTCTGGTCTCTGCAGGAGTCTGCAGAGAATTTCTCCAGACACACTCTTTGCCTTCCTGGGTTGTCAAATGTGACTGTCTCCTTAGGCTGGTGCTATGTGCAATTACTTCATGAACAACCGCCTCACCCACCTGTCTGTTGAGGTGGCAGATTGTCAGCCAAGAAAGGTGAGCTCTGTGCCATTGTGAACAAAGGAGGATTAGTTGAGCAAATGAAAGTTTGCAGTGAGACATGAACCTATGAAAAACCAGTTAGCCACGTGATGAAAATTGCATCTGTGGTGTTTTAGCTTTTGTGTTCTCAATTCCAACACACACACACACACACACACACACACACACACACAGTAAGTTCTCACACAACTGCAGCACTGCATAGGGTCATGTCAATTTATTATGCATAAATACAGCTATATACAATCAAACATTTACACACAACTGCATGCATACAGCACACTTGCACAAAACTACACACATATCGGCACACACATACTTATAATACACATAAGTGTGCACTCACATATATACATTACAGACAATAACCACATATACACTCTCTTCACTCTTCAAAAATATATCTTGGTCTTCTTCTCTGAAAACTATGGCACTCTGAAAAGAGAGATTGAAGATGATATCAGAAAATGGACAGACATCCCCTGCTCCTGGGTAGGAAGGATTA